GTGTGTGTGTGTGTGTGTGGTGGAGGTTAAAAAAACACATCTGAAGAAACAATTTCCTTGCAATCCATCAGAAAGAGCCTGTCGATACGATTGATAAACTGCTAATTACAAAATCAATGGCTATGAATTTTCACAGCTGTCAGACAGCGGCAGTCCCGCGAGAGCCATCGGACAGAGCGCGTCTCTCTCTCTCCCGTAATCTCGCTCGCGCCAAAGCCAACCATCAGCATTTTCATTTCTCAGCCAGACAAAGAGAGACAGCGGACGAGACGGCAGAATAAAACGAGGCGGAGCGCGGGCCGCATTGATCAGGAGAGGACGGGGCCTGCCTTCTGAAAAGCCAGCTGTCGATACAGGCCTGTGTCTTCTCCCCCGAACGCTCGCTGATACTCATTCCATTCGACTTTACACATTTTATTGACAGCCCTGGTGTTCCTAATGAAATGCTAAATTTATCTGTGGCAGCGGCTGGGCCCCGTGGCTACCGTTAGAGAGACACACAGAAGCTGTTCAATTAAAAGCTCAGTGTTTCCGCTCCCTTCATCTTTACATGAGCTGCATCCGTCCACGGGACTCATGCGCATGCACTGTATGTGTGAGTGTGCTCGAGTGTACTGTACTAATAAATAAAGCATACAGTCAGAAAGCATGCACTGCAAAAAGAGGCTTACCTTACTTAGTATTTCTGTCTTGTTTCTAGTCAAAATATCACAAAATTCTTATATCAAGATACATTTACTAGATAAGAAAAATTACATAATATATTTAGTCTTACTTCGTGGGGGGAAAATTGCTTAAAATGGGTTAAAACAAGGAAACAAGACTATATATCTATGTAATTTTGCTTATCTAGTAAATGCATCTTGATTTAGGAATTCTTTTTTAATATTTTGACTAGAAACAAGACAAAAATACTAAATTTGATCAGCCTTTTTTTGCAGTGATCTATACTGTACACGGCTCCTTTTTGAGGTGTTTCAGATTTGGAATAGAATAACAAATAAAAATAAAACATTACAGTAGCTATTTTGGTTTCGGCTTGTATGTATTTTAAGTGAAAGATGATATTAATAAAAACAGCCAGTGTAAAGCTCTGAGATTGACTGTGATTCCTCTCTGTTACTGTACATGTAAAGGCTGAATGTGATGTGGTGACATTGTGTTTGTCTTTGAACTTTTATTTAATACTTTTATTTTGTTACTATTTATCCCTTATTTTAATTATTTGAAATGTAGCTTAATTGATTTTCTGTGCAATTCTTGCCTAACAGTGAAATGTGTTTGAGAGGGACTAAAACATCAATCAAAATGTGACAGTTGGTTAGGTTCATTTGTTATAGAAAAAAAAAAATACAGTATATGCAAAGTCTCTTATGCTCATCAAGACTGCATATATTGTGAAATATTATTGCAATTTATTTAATTACAAAAACAGCAATTATTACAGCTGTGTTCTATGTGAATATCTGTTAAACTGTAATGTATTTCTGTGATGCGCAGCTGTATTTTCAGCATCATTCCTCCAGTCTTCAGTGTCACATGATCTTCAGAAATCATGATAATATGCTGATCTGCTGCTCGAGAAACATTTCTGATTATTATCAATGTTGAAAACAGTCGTGCTGCACAATATTTTTGTGGAAACCGTGATGCATTTTATTTTTCAGGATTCACAGATGAACAGAAAGTTCAAAAGAACAGCTTTTACTTGAAATATAAATCTTTTGTAACATTATAAATGTTTTACTTGTCACTGTGGATTAATTTAATCTGCCCTTGCTGACTCCAAACAATCGAATGGCAGTGTATGTATAAATGTAAAACAATTAAACAAACAAACAAATCAATCTAAAGCTGCTGATACCTGAGTTGGCGAGTGCGATGGCCTTCAGCGTGACGAACTCCTCCTTCTCCACCTTGAGCTTCTTGTACTTGCGCACGAGCTGTAGGATGGACACGTAGAGGTCCAGCAGGCCCGTGAGCCGCGAGTGCTCCTCGTCCATCACGTAGTCCTCCGCATACACCAGCTCGTCCTCGTAGGGCAGCGAGCGGAAGACGATGCTCAGGATCAGGATCTCCATCCATGCGCTCTGCAGTAGACTCATCTGGTCTCCCAGAGACAAGCTGGAGAAACCTGAGCAAGAGACAAGACATTCTGTACTCAATATACTGTATACACACACACAGTGGGCAGCCCGGGGCTAGTTGTCACACAGGGACTCGGTAAGCAGGAGGTTTTCAGTCACAAAGTTGTCTAACAGTGGTTTAGTGTGTCTTAAACTGGACATTTGTTGTGGATTCTGTCCTGCAAAAATTAAAATTCAGAATCATCATATTTTTTGTAATGTTAGTTACACATTAAAACGGCACTACATATATTAAAATCATGCTTCATAATTGATTTACTGTTTAAATGTTTTTAAAAGGTCTACAATTAGCTATTTAAACGGCAGATTTGGTTGTGACAACTTACCCCATATAGTGTGACAACATGCCCCTCTGTAGGCTGTGGTGTGTTAAATGAACAAATCTCTTATTTATGATCAATAATGATGCAAATGTTTGATATTGTTTCAATGTCAATACTTTAAGGTTTGTGTCTGTACAGAAACCCCTCTCCTGGGCAGGGTTATTTGTTAACTATAACTTAAACAGAAACTACATTTAAAATCATTAAAAAAAAAAAATTGTCATTTGAAACAAAATAAACATTAACTGAAATATTTATATATAATAAATAATTATTTCAGCTAGTTGCCAAGGCAACATTTCTCATTTTAATGTAGTTTAACTTAATGCACTAAAATAACTAAAACTGAAATAAAAATGAATAAAACTATATAGACACACACAAAAAAACTACTACTACTGATACAAAATATTAATAAAAACTATAATAATATCCCAATAATACTAAAATAACACTGCTCCTGGGTTCCTCCATAAAGGAAAATATTATGCAAGTAAAATATTTAGAAATTATAAATACATTTAAATAAAACATTAGTATGGTATTTATGACATTTTGTTAGATAAATGTAATTTGGGGTCAAAACTATCTCACTGCAATGCACGAGAAACCACACAAAAATACAAAACATGCTTCATTTCCCCACCAGCAATACTGCGCTTAATACAGAAATTCCAGAGTAACACATATTAATAAAGCAATAAGCCCCAAGAAGCCGTGGTTTACAGTGAATTTATAACAGATAAGGGGCTTTGTTAGGTACGACGTGAAGCGGAGATATAAAACCCCCTTAGCTGTTATAAATTCACTGTAAACCACAGCTTCACGGAGATTATTGCTTTTATAAAACGGTTATTCACATATACGTAGTAAGGTTTCACAAAATAAAACAGAGCAAATAAAGTGTAAAGATATTAATAAACACAGTATTCTTCCACCAAACAATGTAGCTCCTCAGAAACAGTTGTGGTTTGGTTTGCCGAGCAACACACAGAACTAAACAAAGGTGTGTGTTACTTTGTAGCGTCATTTACAACAGCTTTGAACGCGGCTCAGCCAATCAGAATCAAGCACCGGAACTCTCCGCTTTATTAAACAGGATAAGGCCATTTTGATTCTTCTGACAGCTGTCTATAGCGTGTGCTCCACGAGCCGTTTACACATCACACGATCGCTCCGATGTTTAAAATGATTGCTTTACAAGTGGACTAAAGCAGCGCTATCTGCCCCGCTCGCTATTAAAGAGCCGATAGATTACAGTATTGATCCACTCACACGCCACACCTGACCCCTAACTTTCATATGAATGCAGAGATGAGCAGGCGATGTCTATCTGCCACCGGCTGACGCTCGGGAGTGTTTGTGGGCCGAGAGACAGAAAGAGCCGGAGGAGAACAAGAAAGCGGCAGAAAAGAGAAGCTGAGTGTTTAATTTCCTTTATCAGGTGGGCGAACAGCGGCCGGGCGTGCTGGAGGATACATTAATTAACAGATTGCGATCAGGACTGCGGGGCCCCTGACAATGTGAAGAGGGATCAATAAGGGCCTCGCAATGGAGGTGCGGGATGAACGGGAGCCGCCGGAGATCAGGTCAGCGCAGACACGCTCCATACACACAGTCAGAAACACTTCACGCTACACAACATGTGAAAGACTTGGCTCAGGACTGGGCTAACGTGAGCAGATTCATATGCAAAGTGCATTGATTTAGTGCATGAATGCCACATGTCGATCACGGCCGCCTTTTACTGGAAGGTCATGAGTGTCTTTGACAAAACAAAGAGCCGGACAGTTGATGCCTAAACATGACACACTGATAGATATTATACAACAGATTGTTATAATCAAAAATTCTGATGAGTTGCATTTTATAAGAAATCTGAAAAGTGCTACATTGCTTGAAAAAAGCTTATGGTTAGACTAATTAACTATATAACTAAATTGTTTATTCTGATTTATTAATATTGATATATGTCAAGTCATTTTTATATAGTGTTTTACACAATACAGTTTTTTTCAAAGTAGCTTCACATTAATAAATAGGAAATTAATTGTTTGTGTTATAAAATTCATCAAGTAAGAAGCAGCTCTACAGACGACAACAGCGTCATTATTAAGCTCAGTTTAGTTAATTACTGATTCAGTTAGTTACTTATCCGATAGTTCAGTACACTGATATTACCGAATATTAATATTAATTGTATTTTAAACCCCAAATGTAAAACAATTTACTGAATATAATATATATATATATATTGTTTGAGACACAGCAGTTTATGAAGCTCTGCCTCGGAGTACTGACTTCTCTTCAAATGGGATCTACTTTATAAAAATCTGCTTTGACAGGTTGTTTCTCATGTCCATTTACTCATGTTGAAATGTTTCTGAAATCTCGATTTTTACTCTCAGTGCAGAAACAGCTGCCACTGTGATCTATCTTAAGCACTAGTAAAAAATGTGATCAGTTTTTAGCTTGTTTTTATGCAGCCCAATAAAGTTCATTGCTGGAAACATCTTCTGTAACACAGACAAGCTCGGCCACCTCCCCGTGATATAGTTCACGCTCGCTAACTCAAAAGCCAGCAGTTCTGAAAATAGACAAAAGCTGAAACCTTCGCAAAAAGGCTTTTTATGACTCTGGCAGCCTTTTATAAACAAAATAGCCATAAAAAACGACAAGTTTTAATCTGCCTGCATTAACAAGCTTATAGTTGAAGATTTATCCCTGTCAGTTTATGGCTCTGGTCTCCTCCTCCTGATGGTTTGTTGGTGGAGCTTGTGTGAGTTTCAGAGCGATGCTAAAAGTGCATTCAGTTTTATCCGAGTTTTATCCGAGACACTAGAAGGTTAACGATCAATAATGTTTGAAAATAACATACCACCTAATTCTGATAGTGTTAAGAAAAGCAAACGAGAGATAAAAACATTTGCTGAAGTGACCCTGTTCTAAGAACGTTTAGCCTACATTCCAATTAAGTCATGAAAACGTTATTATTTTTTAATGTTTTAAAAACATTTTTTATCTTTTTATGCGTTAAGGCCTGTTCATACCAATGACGATAACTATAAAGATAACGATAAATATATCGTTCAAAAAATCTTTCCCAATATTAAAGAATAGCAGAGTCCACACCACAGCTATAACGATAAAGGCACAGAGAAACAATATTGTTGGAATCGCATTCAGAACGTATTTTTCCAGCTGATGAACGATAAAAACATTGACATCCAATCAGATTCAATCCTGCTGTCACGGGCTGGAGAATTTAAAGCGGCAGACGAGCGACGCTAATGTCGTTATCTTTATAGTTATCGTTCTTGGTGTGAACGAACATTCCATTTTATAATTTTGCAAACATTATGGAAACCTCACTTTTGAATGTTCTCTGAGCATTCTGAAACAAGTAATTACATTTAAAAAATGTCAGGGAAATGTCCAATTAAGAAGGGCTGTCAGTCAATTAATATTTTTTATCTAATTAATTACATGATGTTTCGATTAATTAATTAATCACAAAATAAATTTGACTGTGAATATAGCCACAACAGATTATTTAAAGCTATTTTTTTGTGTTAAATGAGAAAGTATCAAGAAGACATTACAAATTGTAGCTTTCGAAAGAAATATTTTACTTGATTCAACATAAAATGTATTACACATAAACATTTAGGCTGCAACGGCCTAACATAAACTATGGAACATAAAAGAAGATAATTTGAGAAACATCTCAGTATTTTTGTTCATACAACGAAAGTCATTGGTAACCAAAACAGCTTTGTTACCAACAGTCTTCAAAATATATATAATGTCTAAAATGGTAAACATATTTATATTATTTTTGATCAAAGTTCAGTTTGGGTTAAAAGAAAATTTGAAATATTGGTGTCACAGACAAAGGGTTGAAGGACATTTAGCTTTTCAAGAAATTTAGCTTTTTCAAAAACACAAACTTCGGTTTGGCCTAATTTTGTATGAAATGACATCACACCAGTTCGCTCTTTGATTTCACTTGTAATCAGCTTGGACGGATGGTAGTTTGAAGGTGTTTACCAGCCTGAACAAACTATTCTGGAAAGTTCACGTTTTAAAAGGTTGGCCTGATTTGGATAGAAATGAAGTCACACCAGTTCGTTGTTTGATTTTGCACCATGGACCAATGGTTGTTCAAAAGTGTTTACCAGCTGGAGCAAACTTTTATGGAAAGTTCATTTTGGCACGCTTAAACTCCCAAAACAAACTTCATTTTGGTCTGATTTTGTTTGAAATGACATCACAGTTTTCACCACAGTTTGAGCTGATGATGGCATGTGGCCGATTAGTTGACTACTTTCCTGAGCAACTAGTCAACTAAGTAGCAAGTCGTAGAGACACAGACTCTTGTCCTCAAGAAATGCCCCTCACTCACCTCTCCCAAGGATATTACAAAGCTCGAGCTGGATCAGCCCCGGCAACACAGTAAGGAGATTTCACCGTTTAATGACAATGAGAAAACAGCAAACCCAAGCCAGGGAAGGATAGATGGGCGGATACAAGCACAATCGCTGTACGCAAGAGGGGAATTATCCACCGTCATGAGTGGTGATGTGATGCCTGTTAAATTTCACTATTGACTGATTCATGAATTCTGCATTTTGGGACTGAAAAACATTATGCAGCCACAAGGTGTGGTCACATTTTGCAAATTTTCGTGTTCAAAATCCATTAATTTCCATATAAATCCGCACAGGAAATTTGCATGAGGTTGAAAAATTTCCCCACGCAGATTTTGCATTCGCTGCCTTGGCCAACAGAAAGCTGGTTGTTTTAAAAGTGACTTCTGTGTGAGCTGTTTCATACATAACTACACCAGTGACAACAAAGAACCTCTTTTATTCACAAAATTATTGTTATACGTCACTTCCTGTTTGTTGCTGCCGTGTGGTTTGAGTTTGAGCTCCGTCAAGTTAATTCTTTGTCGTCCCATTTTTTATCTTAAAATCAATTTTATACACCATCCTTTTTCAGTTCTATAACGAAAATGTCACCAAAAATATGCGAACCACAACCTTGGGATTTGGAATGGGATAAAGGGGGAAAATGCAAGGTCTCAAAACCCGTAGAACTTCTTTTAACTTGATGCCATTGCAAAAGACACGAGTGCAATGGTAAAACACGCCATTCATAGAAAAACAATGGAAAAATGTCACCAAAAATATGCGAACCACAACCTTGGGATTTGGAATGGGATAAAGGGGGAAAAATGCAAGGTCTCAAAACCCGTAGAACTTCTTTTAACTTGATGCCATTGCAAAAGACACGAGTGCAATGGTAAAACACGCCATTCATAGAAAAACAATGGAAAGTAGAGCAATGTGATAGAAAACGTGTTCTGTGTGAATGGTTCCTAATGATACCTTTCTTTCGCAAGGGCCTTAGCAAACAACTTCTGCGTGAGATGCGCTTCATACATCGCTAAAGTTTTGACAAAGGAGTAATGTGACAACACCTTTAGGGTTTGGCCGAAAGGGGGTATTGTACAACACAACGTAATGATGCTTTTCTTTCACAAGCATCTTTGCATTAGGAGTGCATCAGCGATGCCTTAAAATTTAAAATCTAGGGAGCTCACTGGGTTTCGGAACACAGCCATTATGTGTCATTCCAGTGTGCTCCTGATAAATCAGAATAAGGTTTTTTGAATGCAAGACAGCTATCATGCCATGTGACTTCCCACAGCGGACGCTTCAGGTTGGGAAACAATTCCACACATCCTCACCGCAGAATTCCCCGCTGGAAAAATCCAGCCCTAGGAGTCAGAGGTCCGGAGGCAGGTGATCACCAGCTGTCTAATGTGACAGGGCTACGGTGTCTGACTGGTAACGGTATGTAAAGCCTTATTCCAAACCACATCTGACAGCTTCTGTTGTCCAGAACACGTCCAGATCATCAGACACTAGTTCTGCTGCTCCAGTGTAAGGTAAGCCATCACATTACACACGGCAGCTTCGTCCGTTCGATCATGTAGGTTTTTGTCACTTGCTCTAGTAGAGTTAGTAGTTAGCTCGTTTGCATATCCGTAAAGCTGCGTTAGTGCGAGCGGAGGGGAACTCCAGGACTTAGACAGAGTGAAATGCGATCCGGCCGAGAACAAGAAGCTAGTGTATGTATGTCAAAGGCCTTTAGCACCTTAGCAGCAAAAAAGCCATTTGTCAACATGTTCCACACATCAGCTTTAATGAGACGCCACTCAAACTATTTACAGAGACCTCCTCTCTCTGCAGTGCCAACCGGAGCCCGGACATTCAGAGGAGGGATTCATTAACAATTAATCAACGGCCGATTCGATAGGGCCTGACCATACCAGGAGGCTGTTTACAGCCGTTTACTGACAGATGAGATGGGAGTCTGAGCGCTGTGTCCTAACATGCACTATAAAAGGCTTTACTGTGACATATAAATACGATGGTGCTTTGGACAGGTGTGAACGTGGACCCGTGAGTACAGAAGACCAGTGTGTACCAGTGTAACGCGTGCACACTAATAATATTAGTGGAACTCTCATCTGAAAGACACTTGATGGATAAAATCCTACGTTTGCCTCCTTCACTTAGAATTAGATCACCTTACAACAGTAAAATGGGCTGTGAACGGTCTCTTGACTTAAGTGAGTCATCTTAAGGTACAGATTCCAGTCTATGCAAAATGCTGTAACATTTTGATACCATGCAGTCTTAATAAATAAACAAATAGGGTCAGTTTTGATTTGAGTGTGGTCTATGTAGTAAAGAATCACAGCAAACGCTCTGTCATAACCTGCCTTCTCAAGTCACAGTTGAACAGGGTAAGTGAAATAAAAAACATATAAAGTGTTACGTATGATCATCTGGTCTCCATTTTGTAATAAACTGCTAATGTTTGAAAAATAAAAATGTAATGCTCTTTAGTGCGTTTACTGAATTGCTTAATTTAAATGCAATGAATATGTGCACAATCAACTGTATTAATTTTGTCAAAAATGTATTAAACAGATTGCCAGAAATAACAATGTGCATTAAGAATTTTTTCTACCTAAATTGAAGATACACATCGCTGACGAAGCAAAGCAAAAACAAATAAATAAATAAAAATAAATAAACCAAATTAATATAAATAAATAATCAAGTAAATAATAAATAAATTAAAACTAAATAAAAAACTAAACAAAAGGCAAAAACAAAAAGTATTTCTGAAGATACACATCACTGACAAAGCAAAGTAAATAAATAAATTAATAATAATAATAATCAAATCAAAACAAAACAAAAACAAACAAAAAAACAGAAAGCAAAACAAATAAAAAATAATAGCAAAGCAAAACAAAAACAAACAAATAAAACTCAAACAAAACAAAAATGCACCGTGTGTGTGTGTGTACTGGTATCACATATATTATGATGTTATGAGGATCAAATGTCCATTTTTTGGTCCCCATGAGGAGACAAGCTTATAAATCACACAGAATGTAGTGTTTTGAAAATCTAAAAATGCCTGTAGTTTTGTGTGAGGGGTAGGTTTAGGTGTAGGGTTAGGGTAAGAGGACAGAAAATACAGTTTATAAAACGGAAAGTTCCAGTCCTTGATTCTGATTGGCTGAGCGTTGTGCCTAACAACGCCCCTTAGCTGTTATAAATTCACTGTAAACCACGACTTCATGGGGTTTATTGCTTTATTGTATAGTAGAAAAACCATTACGTCTATGAAGAGTCCCTGTAAACCACATATACCAATGTGTGTGTGTGTGTGTGCGTGTGTGTGCATGTGAGTGTGTGTGTGTGTGTTGAGGAGCACTTTGAGGAGACTGTGTTTTTGGGTCAGCAGTGATCCAGTCGGCTGTAAGCTCCTTGCTAAAAGGCTCTCTGTGCTGACGCAGCACTGTGTGTGTGTGTGTGTGTGTGATTAAGGGGGTCAACATCCTCCTAATCTGCTTACTAGATAGCACTTCACCCAACTAATGATTGGCATCTTCCCTAAAAACACAACCCAGATGGACGGCACTGAGTCAGCATGTGTACACAACAGTTACTTTCCCTTTCTTTCTTTAACGTGTCTGATTTTAACCGCCACAGAACGAGACGCTCTCACACATGCAAAAAAACAAAACAGAAAAACATTCATACGAATGATGCCATAACTAAAGTTTTTTTTTTTTCATCATTCCGTATTAGCTGAGGATGAACTATAAGTTGGATTTTTATTATGAAAGATTATAAAATAACAGTAGAAATCATGAAGCTGAAGTGTCCAGCTTTACCAGTTGTACCACCAAACTTCATGGCCCCTTTTTATTTGTTAGTAAATAATAATCTTATGCTTTCTGCACTGCGTCAGTGCATCAGTGCCTCACTGACCTGGGATGTGTTTGGCCCAGCCGATGATGACCACCAGCTCGCGGTCGGCCAGGTCACACAGTGTGGTCAGCGCTTTGACGTCGCTCTCGGGCATGCTGGGGTCCGGCATGGCATAGATCTTCTCCGGCTCCGCTACCAGCAGATGGGACACGATCTTCGTCACTGAGGATGAGGAGGAGGCACACCGAGTTATTCTCATGTGAAATCACTCAGAAACATGATAAACAATATAGCATCAATTATTTATTTCAGCTTCACTGCAGAAATATTCACAAACTGTATGTTTTCTGCGATTGTGTGTTCATCATATTCACACTCGTTAATAAATCATTATAATTCATTATAGTATATAAAAACTTTCATTTGTCACAGTCTTGATTCATGATGTTTAACTGATCAGCAGTTTATGCAGCTTCAGCAAAAACACTGAATATTGAAATACTGAGAATTTATAATTACATTTTTATGCCATTGTTTGTGTATACTGATAAACATTAATAAACCATAATAACACATTATAAAAGCTTCCAACCTGAAGTAATTAAAACATTTTCCAAACTTTGCCTCTTTTTTTCAAAACTTTACACACAAATCCAAGAACTGCACACAAAATGCAAAATGCCTCACATCTCTCGCAAAATGAAACACTGCATTCAAAATATCACAAACACATCTCAAAAGAAAACATTTGCAAACAGCTTTGTTATAATATTAATTTCTGATCGATTTTTGTGTTACATAGAGAATTGTGTGATGTGTTTTGCAGAAAGTGTTTTATGAAATTGAAAACTGAGTCAAAGGCAGAGAATTAGTGTCTGGTTTTGCAGATTTGGTGTGTGCTTCTGCTGTTTGAGTGTCAGCTTTCAGAAACTGTGTCACAAGTCAAGATTTTGTGTGTAAGCAGTTGAAAAAAAAACTGTAAGTGAACATGTTGTATTGCATTCACAGAAGTGTGATGTGAATGTCTGATTTATTTATTTATTTATAAATATATGAAATGTGTGTGTGTGTGTCAGTGTGTGTGTGTGTGTGTGTCTGTGTGTCAGTGTGTGTGTGTGTGTGTGCGTGTGTCTGTGCGTGTGTCTGTGTGCGTGTGTGTGTCTGTGTGTGTGTGTGTGTGTGTGAGAGTGTGTGTGTGTGTGTGTGTCTGTGTGTCAGTGTGTGTGTGTGTGTGTGCGTGTGTCTGTGCGTGTGTCTGTGTGCGTGTGTGTGTCTGTGTGTGTGTGTGTGTGTGTGAGAGTGTGTGTGTGTGTGTGTGTCTGTGTGTCAGTGTGTGTGTGTGTGTGTGCGTGTGTCTGTGCGTGTGTCTGTGTGCGTGTGTGTGTCTGTGTGTGTGTGTGTGTGTGTGAGAGTGTGTGTGTGTGTGTGTGTCTGTGTGTCAGTGTGTGTGTGTGTGTCCTCACAGGGTTTTTTGGCTGGCGGTGGCAGTGTGAGCCCCAGGTAGGCTGTGTTTCCTGCATCCATTCTCCTCTTGTATTTCTGTCGGCCTCCTCGTACGCGATCTAGCCGAACACCTGATCAAGCACAAACAATACATCACACACATAAACACACTTTAAAATCAATACACATTTCATCACATCTGTGAACAAAATGTTGTTTTGAGTTTGAAGAGCATAAACTTTTTTTTTTTTTACTGAACATATGCCGAGTGATGTGAGAAATCAAGCAACCAAAGCCATTTAAAGATGACTGCAACGATTACGTCTGTGTCAAAGTTCTGCAACACAAATCATTTAAAGCATGTCATCATACAGACACAACTTCAGCATTTGGTACATGATATAATGCAACATAATAATATAAGAGTATATTATTGATATACAGTATTAATATTATTGTTCTACATCAGGCTTGTAGGAGACATGGGCACAATTGTAATTTTAATTTTAAAAATGTCATTTTTAAAATCGCAGATTTCAAAGCATTGTTACATTACTGTAAATAAAAGTCAAATAAATTGTTACTTTACTGTTTACAATCATCTATCAGGACTTACTGAAGTTTTTTGTTGTTGTTGACTGATTAATGAAAAAGCACATACAGTACTTTCAAAAAAATAGTTTTACTTGACATAAAGTAAACTTTAACTGCTATAAAACATTTATTAAAAAATTTAAACTTATTTTATTTTAGCTAGTTGCCAAGGCAGCTTTTCGCATTTTCATTTAGTTTTTGATGTACTAAACAAATTAAACCTGAAATAAAATTTTACATTTTAAAAATGTAAAGCACAACAAAATCACTAAAGCATTAACTAAAATGAAAACAGAAAATATAAAAATAAATTTTTTTATAATATTTTATAAACTATAATAGTATCTCAATGATACAAAAATAACACTGAAAGATATTAAACACATTAACCAATAAAATAATTCTTTCAAGTGAAATAATTGGGAAGATTTCTATTGTTTCTGTGCTAATCTGTGTAAAATATGTATGATATAATGCAACATAATAATATAAGAGTATATTATTGATATACAGTATTAATATTATTGTTCTACATCAGGCTTGTAGGAGACATGGGCACAATTTTAATTTTAATTTTAAAAATGTCATTTTTAAAATCGCAGATTTCAAAGCATTGTTACATTACTGTAAATAAAAGTCAAATAAATTGTTACTTTACTGTTTACAATCATCTATCAGGACTTACTGAAGTTTTTTGTTGTTGTTGACTGATTAATGAAAAAGCACATACAGTACTTTCAAAAAAATTGTTTTACTTGACATAAAGTAAACTTTAACTGCTATAAAACATTTATTAAAAAATTTAAACTTATTTTATTTTAGCTAGTTGCCAAGGCAGCTTTTCGCATTTTCATTTAGTTTTTGATGTACTAAACATTAAACCTGAAATAAAATTTTACATTTTAAAAATGTAAAGCACAACAAAATCACTAAAGCATTAACTAAAATGAAAACAGAAAATATAAAAATAAATTTTTTTATAATATTTTATAAACTATAATAGTATCTCAATGATACAAAAATAACACTGAAAGATATTAAACACATTAACCAATAAAATAATTCTTTCAAGTGAAATAATTGGGAAGATTTCTATTGTTTCTGTGCTAATCTGTGTAAAATATGTACTATTTTAATATTCCTTTGCAATGGAGCTAGTATTTGCTTTGTGGGTTTTTTCTGACACACACACACACACACGCATGCATGCACGCACACACACACACACACACACACACAAACAAGCCTCTATCGTAACAGTATCAGAGTGTAAATAAATCATTTCTCCTTTAAGGGAAATTTAAACCAAGGAAAGAGCTGACAGATTCACCAACACAAAAACATACAAGCCTGCTAGCGAGGGAGCGAGGGATCAGCGGGACGAGCTGCTGCGCTCTCAGCGTGTGTCGGAGGTGTCAGGCCTCCATATGTGAACACTGAGTGCCTGCCGCACATCTAAACAGATGAATATTTAACACGGGGTCAATGAACTCACAGACGGACCTTCTCATTATTTCGCTTATCAGCAGCGCCGCAGAGAACACTAACGACAGCAACCACACCACACAAAACTGGCCACTTTCCACTGTAAAACACTAGATATGTATATAAGTACCTAAATCACACACATATTATTGAAGTTTAGCATGTTTGTAACACACACGCTATAAACGCCACACTAACACCTTATTTATTAGCCAATTATTTGATAAGAATGCTTTTACATTTGTACATTACTCACCACTCCTAAACCTGTTACGCTTGACCTGTTTGTTTATTCATTCACAGTGAAAATGACTGCATTTGAATCTATTTCTGACAGATGGAGGTTATACTGTACATGCAAACCAAAAATCTATTATTTTGGATTAGTATGTTAAGCATGTTCTGTTTTTATGTTCTCACAAAATGACATTTTCAGCTCCATCTACTGAATTTTTACCATAGTCAGAAAATCTTACTGTGTTGACAAAATAAGCCCATTTTGCACATCACACATGTTAAATGAAGCAGCCTTAGTGTTATTTTTTTTTACATTTTATTTATTTATTGCTAAATATTAATAGGACATACAATTAAGGATTTTTAAAAACTAAAACAGTATATTTATATTTGTTTGGGGCTGACATGTCATGGTTATGACACTGTAAAAAAAGTAATTTTTTTTATTGTGCATTGTACAAAAACTATTTCAATCTTTCTAATTCAAGTGTTACTTGCTTCTCTTTGCAATTATTTGTGAAATTTACTAGCAATTTCTGAGTGAAAATTGTAAGTCACATACCAATTATATAGATAATTGCTTAAAAATATCTAAATTGTTATTGTACTATACTAATATTGCTTTTTAAAAACATACACAACTCTGTTATCACATACTATAGTAAATCAAAAACAACGAGCAACCAGTTAAAGTTCCCTGGCGGCTAAATGATTTCATCCCTCTACAACTACTGTGTCAGAGCAGGTTTGTGTGCCACTACAGCAAATTACGCTCCCGCAATTCTCCCTGCTCCCTCTTTATTGAACATTATAGAGTGTGAGATTAGAACAGGGACGGAGGAGAAGAGAAAAACACTGAGTGGAGGAATGGAGGTCCATTTAGCAACCATAATCAGCCGACAAATGAAAGCAGCGGCGTAAGCGCTGGACACTGTTGCGTCATTTACGGACAGCGTAACTCAGATGCAGTGACCGCAGCCTCAAGAACGTTCATCTGACTGTATACGCTTTGCATTTTCAACGTTTCAGTTGTACAGCTTCAGAACATGAACTGCTAATTGCATTTGATCTGAATTATAATGTCTATTTCATCAAATATGACACAAAAAGTGCAACAAAGAGCAGTGACAACAAACTGCATTATCTTTTTAGAAGCCAAATCGGGAGATTTCTTCTCCTTATACAAATTATTTGATTCCCTAGAAACAGAAATCTGATTAGGATTGTCTTTCAATTTCCTGACTCTGACAACCCACTAACCTAATTACCCGCTGGTCCCCGTGGTCCTACTCTTCCTCGCAAACTCCGGGAGATCATTTGATGGTTGCTAAGTCGCAGTGAAATCTCATTTCTCCTAACTACAATTTTAATATTTTTATTGATAGTTACAGACGGTGGGGAGCGAGATAAAATGATTTTGAATTATGCTAAAGATTGGATTGACTAAACGCACTGTAAATATAATTTAAATCTGGCCCAAATGGTTTGACTTCACAAGCTTATTATTACTAAATACCTAAAGGACATAACTTTAGTGCTAAACAAAGGCATATTCTCATTCTCTGTCACAGTCTTGTTGCTCAAATTGTCATGCCAACAAATCTGGAATATAATGCCAATGTTATTAACGTTAAATAGATTAAATACAAAATGGTCTAGTTTTGCTCATGACGAGGGAAAATGTCCATGCTGAAGCTAGTCTCAGCTGGTTTAGTTAGTCTCCCCAAACCATTCTAAAACATCAAACTAGGTCAGATAAAACCGGCAAACCACCTCAGGCTGGTTTAAGCTGTTTTTTGTCCTGTATTGTACATGGTTTTCTCTAAAGCTCTTGTGGACTGGGATTCAGATGGAGAAACGCTCCATGTCACATGCTACCGTCAGCCATCGCAAAGCCGGTGTGAAGATTCAGAGGTACATAGGTGCCTGTTTTAATTAGAACAGTGAGTGTCATAATTAAACAGATGCTGGCAGGAATTAAACCTTGGCACTATCTAGTTTCCCGTTACACCCGGAGCAAAATGGTCAGGGTGAGGGAAAGTGAGGGAAAGAGATGAAAGAAAAAGGCTGATTTGTAACGGATCTGTGTGTTATGAGGCCTTTAGAGTGCAACCTCAACTGGTTCAATAAGTACAACATGTTTTGTGAAATTACACCTATACAGTCAAATCAGATCAAGAACATATTTACAGTTTTATCTGCATTGTGAATTAGAGGATGAGACTCATTAGAGCATGTTTTTCCAATGCAAAGCAAATGTTTGTCCTCTTCATAATGTTTCATTAAAAAAAGTAGTAACTTTCACACCAGTATTCAAACCCAATTTGAAAGTCCTACGTTGGGTGCCAGCTTTTCTGTTTCTCGCTGTGGAAGTAAAATGAGTTATGAATGCCATTTCATGTTAATGTTAAGACCATGAGAGCACAGAATGTATCTTTTGGATGAGTTCATTTGCTGCTTACGCCACATCAGAGGATCTGTCTGATTTATAATGGACGGATCAGTAGGCTTGCCGTGATAGACGGTGCTGACGGTGATACCGGCGTTAAGCCGCAACACCGGTTACGTCCCTTGCCCACCGTGGCACCGACCCCCACCGTCGTTTAGATATTTTATAGTAATAAAAATCATTTAGTTCAGTAAAAGAACAGACACTGCAATTAAAAACTGAACGCGGCTGCTCAATGCAGCGTGCCGAACGACAGTTGCATCACAGATCAGATTTCATTTCTCCAGTGAGGAGAGCTGACTGACGAGAAGAGCGAGGCGAGGTGAGACAGACAAGACGATGGCGGATGATTTAGTTTCGAAACGAGATGCAAAAGCGCCTGTTTGGCAATATTTTGGATTTTGAAAAGCTTGTTGACTTCTGCCGTTTATTTAAGCTGATTTTGGAAGTTTTTTTAAACATTTGTTTCTTATTTAATTGGTTCCACATTGTTTGCTGATTTTTTACTTTATTTAAACTTTGTGTCATTTATTTATTTTATTTGACATCAAGGTGTATGCCGTGCCTCCAAGCTTTCTTACTCGTTTTGCTTATAAACGTTCTACGTTTCTTATTTATTTGGTTATATATTATACATGTTTAATTAGCCTGTTTCCAGTTTTGTATACCTATTTAAACTTTATGTAAGTTATTTGTTATTTTATATTAGACATAGCCTGCCCTATAGCATGGTGTATTTGTATTTGTTTTGTTAATAAAAGCTCTATGTTTTATATATAGGCTAAAGTGAGTTTGACGTTGTATTTTGTTGTTGCATTCAAGCAACTGACGCAGAACTGCCACTAATTCGATGTGCACAGCGCTTTTAAGCTATTTAAAAGCGAAGGAAAGCAGTATTCAATCCCAATTTGAAAGCCCTACACTGGGCGCCAACTTTTCTGTTTCTTGCTGTAGTTAAGTAAAGTAAATTGAGTTGTGAATGCCTTTTCATATTGACAATAATAGCAGTGAATGCATCTTTTGGACGTTTCCACATGCATGAGAGGAATGAGTGGCTCAAACTGGAATATCTTCAATGAAACACGAGAGCGATGCATTTCTGAAAGCGAGTATGTTTTACGGCGCTGACTGCCGCTGATTCACAGCGAGCGGATCTCGAATGTCGTTTCTTCAAAGCGAGCGTGGCGGTGTGGGAGAGAGAGAGGGCTTAGGGCCAGCGCTGAAGGCATCTGAGTGCGGATTAGCCCTCGGGCCCGTGACTGTGCGAGGGCCAGCTGACCCCGGGCTCCTTTTCCTCTCTCAAAACAACAATCCCCTCTTGAGCAAAGCCCCTACAAAAGGGCCTGTCCCCACTCCTGTCGGTGGTTCGCCGCGGGTAGCTGGACTTGGCAGGGGCCCTTATTTTTGGTGGTCTCACCTGTTCATCTGGGCGAGGGGAAAGTGTCAGCGTGGCTGGGATGGTTGGCAGTGCCTCAGGGAGCTTAGGCTGACCCGTTTTTAGCTAGGAAATTCACAGGGCCATGTCCAAAGGCCACGGTGAACTCTATCTTTCATGGCTGCCGACAACCCCCATCTGAACTGGCCTCGCGTCAGCACTATTTCAAAGAGCCCTGCGTTTGGCAGCTTGGCATTTTTCCTCACGAACGGTGACGAGAGATACGGCGAGCCGACCGCAGAGCTGACATCTAACCCAAAAACACCTGTGCCGTCGCTTCTTCTAGCACGGCCGGACCCAATCAGGCACTCTTCCCAAAGACGGTGCCAACAAAAGGAGGAAACTCACACACTACAATCCTGCCAAAGGACAACTGAATGTTGCTCGCTGTGGGATGATGCACTTTCTGGAAAAACGTAAAAACCTGACCTTTAGGAGTACAACAACTCAACCTCAAAGGGATACCTTTACCCCTGCAAAATTCATAGTGGTACCTTAAAGGTACATGTCACTACTCTATAGTACTTATATGCACCTTTTAGTGGTAGAAAGGTACAAAGTTGTCCCATTATGGGTACTGCCCCAGTAACAAGCTCCTAAAAGTACACATTTTGGGGAATGGGGAATTTTTCTTCTGAAAATGTCTTTAATTCAGCAATGTTGTTTTGAAACATCCAAAACTGTAAAATGACCGTAAAGTCTACAATTTAAACAACTTTACAGTTCAAATCATACAACTTTTCAGAAAAATAAAAAGTATTATAAATGTATATATCTTTCAGCCTTATAAATGACATTACACATGATTGGTCTGAACAAAAGCGGCAGACGGGCTGAATGAAAATACAAATTCACTTATGGAAAAGCAGAAATACAGCGGTTACCCCGT